TTATAACCAAATTTTTTAAATATATCTTTTAAAAAACAGTTAATTTAAATAAAATATCAAATAGCAACAATAATAAACAATAAAATAATGATTATTTATAACATGTTCAAAGATTATGATTCCAAAATGTTAGGTGTTTCCATTATTTTTTCCAACTCCTGTATGTTCTCATTCTACCCATTCCTATGACACAAGGAGCTCATTTGCCTCTTTCCCCCTTATATTCCAGACAAAGAGTATATCCTAGTTAAGACAAGATGTGATCTTCCGCAGGTGTGTGCCTATGAAACCCCTGCCATTGTGTGTCACTTTCCTTTGGCTTCCCTTTGAGCATTTTCTGTAAAGAGCTCATCAAGGTAATATTTTCACCCGACCTCCCACTATGTGTGAGGATAAGTTATTGTCTTGGAAGTTAACATTTTCCTAATCTGTAAATGTACTTCTGATAGATACACCTCTTCACACATATTGTTGCGTCAGCGAGATCACGTGACTAGTATCACGCCACCCCTTTCTAGAAATATCCTGTTCCTTCAAGAATGCCCTAGCATTTACTAGATATGTGTTAGTCTTGTATATATAAGACGTTCACAACGTGACGGGACAACAGTGTAATGAGTAATTGAACTGCAGTCAGAGAGAATATTGTTAAGCATGTGAGAAATTCGTTGAGAATTATAGTGCAACTTTTGAAATTAAGTGTATCGCAAAGTTATATTCAGAAAGAATAAACCAGTTTTATTTAAGAAAGGACTTGTGTCTCTAAAGTTTCGTTGGAACGAAGTTACGGAAAATTAACTAACGACTAGAGGCGTAACAATATTCTCACTCATTTTCCCCCACCTCCAGTGCACATTGTGTCTTGCTTCATCAAAGAATGAATACAAAGGCATAGGGGGAGTTATTGTATAATGAGGTTGTGTCTCCCTCCTATTGGTGGAGGGCTTTTGTTGCATGATGACATCATCATCTGCCTGTTCAATTCATGTTAAATTGCATGAAATCAGGTGAGAGTTGCCTCAAGGCTAGTGGTATGCAAATCTCAGGCAAAGACACAAGGAAGATAAATAAATTGTGTGGAGAGAGGTTAGTATCTATTGGAAGTATATATCAGATTAGAAAAATGTTAAGTTTACAATTACATTACTTTTTAACTAATTTCTCAGATAGTACAACAAAAGACCAATGTTTATAAAGGTAAGGCAAACCACAACTAGGAGTGTAATGATGCATTGAACTATTGATAGATTGTGATTGTGAACCATAATCAATGCATCAGTGGTAAATTTTAGAATTTTTAAGTTACCAATAGTACTCTCAACTATCGATTTTTTCAGTAGATAAAAAACTTGATTATTTTCCCCATTGCTTGTTTTATTTTAGCCATTTTTCAATAATTTCCCTTTGTTTTCAACTCTTTTTGGAGTCTACACTCACCAGTAAACCTAACGGCTCATGTATTACATCTGCCATTAGCAGTGTTGCTCATGAAATAGACGAAGCTCACATTGGAGAATTAATGATTAATATATTTCCAAGTTTACTATGTGTATCTTCATGAGAATTGGAAATCTTTTAGTAAATGTGAAAAGTGTGTTGTGTAAAAAAAACAACAACATTTCTTTAATTATAATACTTGCATGAAACGTAAATTTCATGATTGGGACAACTTATACTTATTTTCCATATTTTATTTGCATAATCTCTAGAACTTCCTAAGTGGACATCAAAAGTTTTTTTTTAGCAACGTATATCAGGCCTTGACAAATCCCAGGCACCAAGTTATCATGGCAACTAAAAATTTCATTGTGGTGCCTAGTATTTTCTCCCATTTTATTCATGCTTAGGGCTGTGCTAAACAGAACTCAAATCTAGAAAAGTTCTGGGCTCTTGGAATTCTGGAGCTATTTTTGCATTCTTCGAATCCTAAATTGAATTTTGTTTCTAGGATTTTAATGGTAGATTCAGCACTTCATGTTTTTTCAGGAATGAAGCTCTGCAGTTGCACAACACGTTACTAATTTTGCACCTTTTTTTTTCTTTCTCTCACTTCAACTAATCAGTGTGCATGTTTACACTCAGGCAGGACTAAAGACTAATGGTTGTTTATATCATGATTGTTATCATGCACTCATTGCTGTGAAAGGAAATAAATATACATTGCCCCCATTTCCTGGTACAAACAGTAGTGAAGCTAGGTTAGACACACCTGGCTCTCGAGTTTTTGGGCTGACTTCTAGGTCTGAAAGTATGTGTCTAGGCCTGATGTATATTTTATCTGTAGATTTCTCTACACAAACAACATACTTAATTCCAGGGTCATTACAGACATTATCCAAGAATAATCCAATGGACTAACACAGTTATTTCCTTTTCTGTATTGGCCATGAAGTTATAAATTACTTATATTAACAGTTTAAACCTCTATTTTTTATTAACCATGGTTTCTGTTTTGTTTTTATTTTGCTATATGGAGTAGCAATCCCACTCCTCAGACAATAAAGCAATAAAACATATTTTGAACCATTACACTTTTTCAGCAAGCATAACACCTGCTCTGAAAAACATGTTACATAATTTTATTTTATTTTACCTCAATTTAGACAAGTAGAAAAATAGCATATGTTCAGTAAACAAATTTATAATTGTGTAATCAAACTGACCTGCATAATACAAATTTGTAACTAATGTAATGGTATTTTGTTAAATACAATGAAATTTCAATTACCATGTATTACAACATATAATAAAATGACTTATTAATGATAAATCTGTTAATTAACTCTCAAAATACTTGTATATGTTATATTGAATTTATTGTCCAATACTAGCTATTCAGTGTTAGATATACTCAACTGTTTCATTTAGATTTAATATGAGAGTTATGATTTAGATAGTTACATAGAATGAGTGTTAAAATTAGTGTTTTTAGAAGCGATAGTTTATTGCACATTTGTTTATGTAACTGTTTACAAATCATTTGCTTTGTAGTTAAATTGTTGTTAATTGACTTCACGCTACTAAAAACTGAATTTTTCTCGTTGCTTTACGTGAGTATTGTTATGTCGTGGCATAACGTCTTGCAGTTTGTAGAAAGTTGTAGGCCTCAGGCAATATATATAGGTGACCAAGTTAGTGTAAGTTAAGTTAGTAAAAGTTAAGTTAAATTGTGTGTCAACTTAGTGAGTTTTACAGCTTGTATTGTAATAAAACAGAATAATTTGTCTTGTCAAAGCGTGTTCTAAAATAATTGAACCTGCCTGTGTGGAATTTGAGTTTGATGAAAAGGAGTCAATTATTTAAAACTCTGGATATAATTGTAATAACCAATAGTGCAATGAATTTTTACTCATACATTTGACTTATTTTGAATATATTATTTAAAAACAAGTGGATTGTTTGCTGTCTGTTTATTCTTAAAATTTATCAAGTCACAGGTACCTACTGTAAAGAATCCAAGTCCTATAAAATCATAACATCAGTACTGTTGCAATAGTATTGAAATAGTCAAAAAATGCCTTAATAGTCACCCCTAACCACAAGAAGTGTTCGGATATATATTATCCGACATTGGAGATCTGTTATCAGCCAATCAATAGTCAACTTTGCAGTGTAGGTGCAACCATTTTGTGTACTACATTACAGAACCATTTTTGCAGGAAGAAACTGTTGCTTTGTTATTGCTAAAGTTAAAATAAAGTGAAACATAGTAAAAATAACATAATTAATTTTTTATTTCTATACTTAACCATTCTAAAAGAGAAGTAAACTGCTGTGACAGCTTTTTTTTACCAAACTTATCAACCAATACTAGGATTTTACAGTTGAATGCCTTATTTTGAAATTGAACTTCAATTTACTTTCACACTTGACTTCAACATTCAACATGTCAGAAGTTTTTTTTGAATCCGCATTGGAAACTTCTAAATCAACTTCAGTTGTTAATTCCATGCTGGATGAAATAACTGA